GGGGGGGGGGGGGGGGGGGGGGGGTGTACTCATAGTCGTGCATGCCGTAGTCGTTAGACCATTGACCTCACATCCCTACAAAGCCGGGACGGAGCAGGGTTCGCCGGGTTCTCACCGGACCAGAAACTCAAATCACCAGGCGCGAAGCGCTGTGAGATATTCGGCGAGTCGCATGAAGGGTGCGCGGCATCCTGCTAAGGGTGGTCGGCATCTTGCGCTTGCTTCCTTGCGTACGGATGACAGCTGCGTATGACTTGATTTATTTTCTGGTCCTCTCACTTCCAGAGACTTTATTTGTTTCTGATTATATTCTGTTTTCTTGTATTTTATCGCTCTGCTGACCCTTGGGGTCCATTTTGTTTTGGTATACCTTTTCTAGGTACGTTAGCCTGTGACCANCACGGAAATTGGCCGAGTCAAGTGCTGGATTAGTACGGAGAGATTGAGACAGAAGGAGGTACTGGATAGAGAGACCGGGATGGTTTTAAATGTGAAGACAACAACAACAAGAGACAGTTATGAGCACTGTGTAACTGCCTCGAGTATGCTTGACCGATTTAACACAAGGTGGTGCGACCATCCCCCTTGCGCAGAGTGAGGGTTCTCGACCCCGCACAAAAATATCCACTCGACCATCATTCATGGTTACCGCCAAAAAAAACAGGTAACACCAAACGGTAACCTGGTTGCCGAGTTCACGAAGTGAGTTGGTTTGTTTGACAACATCCTTGCCAAGCGACGAAAACCCAATCCCGATGGCAAACACCGGGGGGGGCGGCTTGTTTTACAACGTCGTTGCCAAGCGACGAAAACCCAACCCCGATGGCAAACACCGGGGGGGGCACGGGGGGGGGGGGGAATTCAAAACGGGCATAGCTTGCTTCGAAAATTATTACCCGACTACCGTGGCGTTCGAACTTCTCCGAACGATCGTTCGTGTGGATGGGCATGCAGGGGATATAGGGGATGTGCGCCTCTTTTCCCGAGGTTTTGACATGGTGCCATGTATACCAGGCCATGTCTACACGCCACAAACAGTCTTGCTTCGCTGGCTGTGAACACAAATTTTCGTTACAAAGCAGGCGTTGCGACTCGAGTGAATGCCCTCGTGCTTACCGTTGGCCTTGAGCACGCGGAGGATCTTGGAGCCGGTGATGGCGCGGACCTGAGCGATACCGTTGGAGTCACGCAGGATCACACCGATCTGCAAGGAAAAAGGGTTCAGAAGGCGAACGTCACGTGTCAAGGTTCAGTAAAAACAGAAACAAACAACATACACCTCGGCGGGAGGTGGGAAAGACACAAATCACCCGTCAACATGGAGAAATTACGTTCCAAAAGATGCATGTAGGGCTCGCCACATGCCCTGCCGAGGTCATGACGTACTTCGCACCTCTTCGTGAAAGTAGCTTTCACCCAAGGCAAGAGGAATGTGAGGATACACAATGCTGCGCAGCGTCAGTTTGCATCCCTAGGTAGAACAGAGTGGCGAAATAAGAATGCAAAATGCGCCTCCTTCGCTTAATTTTTGTCTCGACACGAAAGTGTGTCTACCTCGCCAACGTTTGAAGGCACGTGTTGCGGGGCGAGCGGCAACCCAACCACGTGGGCGTGGGTCGAAATACCTCCCGCTCAATACTCTGTTGTGCCTAAACATTGGTGGAAAGTTGCCCTATATGGTGTACGTTAGGTTTGCCGACCAACAATCACGGCGTGGATGCGGTGCCACGTTCTGATTCCAACCAAGCTGGGTGGAGTTTTTTTTTTGTTTGTTTTTCTCCCATCATTGCACTCTGTCGTCTGCCCCTCTGACCCCTATCCTCCACTTCTACGAGCTAGACGACCCAACCGGGGTCACAGGAGGGGGGGATTGGACCCCCTCCTGCGGTTCATGCCTGAGGTATTGTTATGGCGAGAAGGGTACAGCAATCCCTTCCCTCGCGACTTACGAAGTCGATAATGGTTTACTAGCAAACGAGCTTTGCAGCGCGTCGCTTTCATCCTAGACCAGGATTTATTTAGACAGAAAAAAACTCACTCTGCCGGGACTCGAACCCATGACCTGGCCCTTAGCAGGCCGCGAGGCTATACACTAGACCACCGGGGCGACCGGTGTCGGAGTGGTGTCGGAGTATTTGCCCATGATTACGCTCCTCTCTCGGAAAAAAATACGTAAAAAAAACAAAGAGTTTCAACACATTCCCTTCGACTTACAGGGTAACATTTCGGCGATTGTCCAATTCCCAAAAGCAACCCTGCACTACAGCAGTACAGCTCGTGTTCCAACAAAACTACCCCGCCGCTCAGTCTCTTTCTTATGGACGCAGTACAGCTTCACGCCTCACCTGTGAAGGTGTGAGACCCTTCTTGGCCAGCTTGCACACGTGCTCAGTGACCTCCTGGGCGGAGATCTTGAGCCACGAGGGCGGGCTCCTCTTGTAGGGGAGAGAAGACTTTGAGATACCCTTCCCACCGCTGTGCATGCGCCCCATCTACAGTGGTCGTGTTGCAGGTCGTTTCCCCCGCGGTAGCACAGCGAAACGCAAGGCGCAAACACCCAGCAGATTGGTCCAAAACAAAACCGGCCGTCGGCGAACACGACATGAAAAAGAGCAGCACGAGCAACGCCGAGCAAGACAAAAAAAACGGGGCATCTTCAGGGGGGGTTAATCAGGGCACCCATTCAGCCTAGACCGAATGGGTCCCTGTGCGCGGCAAGGCAAGGTGCCTCGTGCCATTAGGATGGTGGTGCTGCGTCGCTGTTTTATGACACGGGACAACACCCCCCCGTAACGAACCACACAAGATGGCGTAGGCTTGAAACAGAAGCGCAAGCTCCGCTCTTACAGATACCCCTGGTCGACAACAGCTACTGGATCTATGCTGTCTCATTTCGACAAGATTGGGTTCTCGCTGGCTGGCGTGAATTAGTCGAACGCAACTGCCGTGAGCTATGCGTGTGGCCACCGACAGACCGACACCAGCGTCATCCCCCTCTGATCCATACACAGCAGAACTTTCACATGCTAGATAAAATACCATGCAGCACGCAGGAGAGAGGTCAAAGCACGACACGACAACCCAGCAACCGTCTGCCGAGTGTGTCAACTGAGTCGCAACCAACGACACCATGCGTTGCTGATGGCTGCTTGCTTTCCCAGCGGCGCGAGTACGCTCTCTCGGGACGCCGGGTCAGCTTTTTCGCACCACCCTCGTCAAGATCTCGGCCTAGGAAGTCAAACCATACGGCGTGATGGCTCTACTGTCTGCCAGGGCAGTGATGACTACGACACGTGGCTCACCTTGAAGGAAGGTGTGTGTGGGAACACAAGGATCAGGCACAGGCTGAAGTGCGAAGCAGCGGCAGCAGCCAGCCGCCAGTCCGAGCAGAAGAAGACGGAAACACGCCGCATTGTTTCATCGAGAACCCTACCCCTCGTGGAGGAAACCTGCGCACCACGATGGGACCGCCGCTTGCACGGCGTTGGTGTTCGCCGTGGTGTTGTTGTGTACTCCTGGTGGGCTGCATTCGTTGTGCACGGGTGCCTTTCACGCTGCTACGCCTGGTCACGATGCCTCCCGTTCCCGTCCTACCTAGGAAAATGCCTCCGCACTCTCCTCAGTCGCTCTCCAGAAAATCCAGCTGGAAACATAGTCTTCGAGGCGTCGGTACGCGAAGCAGGACGGGCAGCGATGCCGGCGATGACGCTGAGAGCACCGCGGCGGGGTCGGTCAAGATGGGCAAGCTTGGAGGTTTGGGTGGTGGTGTCGGCGGCGGGGAGAAAGACAACAGTCAAGGCTACGCCATAAGCAGGTAAGAACAAACCTGGGGGCCCGCAACAACGGCAGTAACTGCGGGACTCCTACTCGGTGTGCTGTAGACATCCCACAGCAGCAGTAGCTCACTCCGTAGGAACCAACACCGGCAAGGGGTCATATCGTCGCCATCCGTTCTCGCACGACAACTGATGCATGTATGTAGGTCGTGTTTATCGCCCGTGAAGGATGGTTTGGTTTTTGAGGAGTGAGGTGAGTTGGGCGGGTGCTAAGGACATCCCGCTCTCATGGCATTAGCTACATAGCAGTATACCTCTCCCTCGACTGCCGACTCTGTTCAAGTGAGCGACTTGGTGGTTGAAGCTCACACTGCTGCTCTGCCGGAAGGTATCGTGCTGCAATGGCTGAGTTGCAGAGGAATGCGGCGTTCCTCGCTTTGGCGGAACAAACGATAGCAATTAATTGTTCATGGTCACCGCCGCCTTTTTTTATGCCACCGCGCCTCTGATCCCTCGCCCCCCTCCCTCCCGGCCTCCTTCCTGGCGCATGCAATTTTATCAGTTACGAGCTTGTGAACAGGCCACGGGCGTATTGGACGGTTGCGGCAGAGGTTGTGGCGAAAGGGGCCACCATGCCAAAAAAGCGGCTTGTTCCCTTGCTGCGAGAGGTGAGGAGGCAATACACACAGCTGAAACCAGGCACAGATTCTCGACTACATGTGAAAGGTTCGTAGACTTACATGTGTTGATGGCATGTAGCCTCCTTACGCCCTGGAATCCGGCGTGTGATGGATGCGAACCTTGTCCTCGGATGCAGTCGATGGTTGTGCACAAGTCGCACTCGATTCTGCAAGAAGCAGGTATATCCGACTGAAATGCCCATGATGTGGTGTACCACTATTGGACGACCTCATCTCGGCTCGTGGGACACCCGATGCCGGAACAGCAAGCAATGACAAGGGACGATTCCGACCGACCCTTTCAAAGAGACATGCCTGCGCAAGCCGACAACATGCAGAGCAGTCTACCCACACGGACCGCGTCCCGCTGCTTGTTTCTCTGTATTTACCGCAACCTCCACATCCGCAAAAGCTATGCATTCGGATAGGAGATTACACGGTCTGCGACGGCGCGTTCTTCGGCGCTCTCCTGGTCATCCTGGGCTCGGCCAAGGTGCGTCATGCCCCACACCATTACCACCCCTTTCATTCCCAAAGAGTATGGTGATACTGGTAGTGTCACTGTCTCTGCCCATATGGTACCTTCTATGGTTGCGGCGTCACTTGCACTCTCTCCCTTCTTACAAGCAACACGCCCGACGCATGAGTGGTTCAACACAAGTTACACGTTGATACGTTCCTCCTATTTAGATTGATTTGTGCCTGGGTTCCGGGTGTTTATGCATAGATCACCAGCTCATTTGTACCTGGATCGTCGGTTGATGTGTTTCCGACAGCATGGCGAGGCATGTTTCCCTCATCCCATACCACCCCCCCCAACGTGAACCGGCGTTCGCAATTCCCTCTTTGGTGTAGGAGGGGGACTGGGATGGCAAGGCGGTGCGCCTGGTACACTTCTTCGTGCGAGGGATGGTGACTGTCCAGGGTGACACGGAGGGGCGGGTGTTGGGGTCGCACTGGGAGGGCCGCGGGATAACTCAACGGCAGATCCTAGACGCTATCGAGTGCTTCAGGTGAGAATTTGTGATACGTCTTGGTGCACAAACACGACTACAGCGGGTTTTGTTCGAAACACTCTTTCTTATGTTATGCCGCTGTTGGGGAGATACCAACGGCATCCCACTCTAATAGCGTTCGAGATGCGCACGAATTTTCCCACGAGTTAACGTTCCCGCTCCCATGCTGCCCACCGTCGCTTCCCGCTGCCATCTTTCCTGGGAACTCCTGTGTGTCGCGCCGCGGTATGTGTTCACCAAAACACAACAATCGCAGACAAGAGTCCGAGCATCGTAGCTCAGTTCGACAAATCCCGGCTTTCCACACCGTGGCGACGCTCTGCCAGCTGGCTTCTGTGTCCGGGGTTGGCGGTCAACCGTCCCCTGTTGAGGTGCTCAGGGAAACGACCCTCACCCCGCTGAGATCGTTGCAGGCCCAGGAGAGGCCGGAGAGAGGAGGCAAGACCAAGGGGCGCGCTCTCCGGCAGGTAAAGTTCTCGCGTGGTGACGTGTTACGCGTTGCGCATCGCATCACCTCGTGTATGTGGAACATTCGTGAGAACGCCCGCCTTAGTGGTAAATGCTTATCGCACGGATTTGTGCGCTCGTTGTGTGTGTGAAGAGTGTACGCTACCTTCTGATGATTTGTTCCAAAATACAGAGTATGTGCCATTGGGTAGGTTTCGGTTGTGTACCCCCCCCCACCCACCCACCCCCGTGAATTTCTGGCTAATAGTACGGTACGACACATTTCCAATGTCAACCGGCATACAGCAGCACAGGCCACCATTTACAAACCCAAAGTTAAAATATAAAAATATACTTGAAAGTAACATGTTGGAGGTAAAAAGTGTGCCCACACTCTGTGAGGTGTCTGTGGATGAACCCAGAGTAGACGTGAGAACCTCCAGTTTTGCGAAATATGGAGGTCCTTTGCGCACGCAATATCATCTTCAACGTTGGGGAATATGTGCGCTCCCCGTACCACAATTGCCACCCCGTCCCCCCCCCCGATGTATGTGCCACAGAGGCAAGAAGCTTTCGAGGAGTCGCTGCAGGTTTCGGCTGCAATATTTTCAGCAATTCGCCGATGTCCGGCGCTGGCGCGCGACCAGAGCATCCTTCCCCCGGTGTTGCTAGGCTGCTGCAGCGAGAACCACCTCGCCGCCCGACACGCCTTTGCGATCCTCGCGGACCTTGCCATGAAGTCGCCGGACGTGGTGTCGCAGGTGAAGGCGGAGGAAACGTTTGGCGGGGCAGGTTGGCACCGTTGTCTTTGAAGAACAAAGAAAAAGAGCAACCGTGTGCTTAGTGCAACTAGCGGCCGTTCGGTGAGAAGCGCAATTGGACGCGTTTTTGCGAGATGCCGCACAGCAACATGGCAACTAGCCCCTTAACCTCTTACCGGCACCCCCCGTGCACGGCTCGGGCAAAAAATCCCTTAGCTATTGGTGACCATGCCTCTCTCTCACCCTCGACCGCTTTCGCCCATTTGGTTTGTGGGCGTCGTGCATTTTTGTTGGGGGTCTTTGCAGACGCTCCTTAGCAAGGCTATGCTCGTCCCGACAACGGTGGGCATGCTTCAGGCCCCCGGCGGCCTCGCGGCCTCGGGGGGGGAGCCCAACCTGGCAGACTCCCTGGCTTGCGTGTACTACCTCCGGGCTATCAAAGCCCTTGCATTCGCGGAGGCCCTCGACGACACGATGAGGCTGGACATGTACCGTACCATGGTTAGCTCGGTGTCGGACGCGCGGCATCGCGTGGCGTTGGAGGCGATGCAGTGCCTACTTGACCACCCGAGGTGTGGGTAGGGCCGGCAAGGGTTGGGTGTACTTTTCGTTTTGTTTTGTTTTGTTTTCGAGACCGGGAACCGGCAAGGTACTCACGAGCCAGGAGTGCGGGGTGTTCCTGCGTCATAGGTTCGGCGTGTTGATGGACCGTAATACTTCGCCTGCACTTGACCCGCGTGAAGTTCCTCGGGCTTGGTTTCTTCAGTCCATTGCAATCTTCGCGTGCCTTCTAGAAAGTTGAAGTTTACTGCCCCCCTCTCGCATTCGCGCGTTTGTTTTCCCGGCGAACGCGGAAAATAACAGGGCGTGGGAGCTGCTCGTGAACGCCCAGCGAGAATCTCGAGATGCCGACATCTTCCGCAGAGTAGTAGACCGCATCAAGGTGTGCGTGGAGGAGGCCACTGCTCCCGCAACAGCTGCTGCGGCCGCCACTGCCGCACACGATGGATCGACCGCTGCTAGCCGGCCGGGATCCCCTACTGAGCTTCCCCCCGCGGCGCCCGCCGACCTGAGCAACAAGAAGAAGAAGCTTAGGAAGAAGGAGAAGGCTAGTGGCGGCGGGGCTGGCAATGGACCGGCGGGGGTGGGGGCGAGCGAGGCGTACTGCAACTGGGCGTTGGCCCACGCTGCTTGCCGTGTGTGTAGGGTGGTGGGCCGCACCTTTCAGGTGGCGATTAGGTGTGTGCTTGTATGCAGGCTGAGAGATGGTTGATATTGCGCTGAGTTTTTTTTAATCACAAGGCACACTTTGGGACGGGACGGGTTCGTCGATCTGCTAGAGAGTTTTCATGCCTACAGCAGGCTCTACCATGTTGCCGCTGCTTCGGCAGTCGTCCGTTCGAGCTTTGGGTACAACTGCTCTTTTCTCTCTCGATTTTTTCGCGCTGCCACGTAACCAAAGCCACCCCTCCGCCTCACAGCATGCCCCCCGACACACATACACCCCCGCCCCGTGTAACCGCATCAACAGTTACCAGACGATGCAAAACCAAAATCGAGCCGGTGTCGACGGCAGCAGTGGCGGTAGCAGCACCGTCTTGGCAAGTCCGGCGGCGACATCAAGCGTCGGCGGAGAGCGTCGCGGCAGTGGGACCTCCGGCCCGCGTCCCCCGTCCGTCAATGCCCGCCACGGCTTCTCGGAAGGTCTGCTCGCGTCGGGGAGAGACGGCAGCCAACCGGTAACACCGGAAGTGGGGACGGGGTCGGCGTTCAATCTCCTTGGCCTGCCGCCGTCGCCGGCCCCGAGGTCGGGGATAACGCGAGCCCCCTCAGCTTGGGGCCCCACTGCCGGGGGGGGGGGGGGGGGNGGGGGGGGGGGGGGGGGGGGGGGGGGGAGGAGGCTTGCGAGGGATGGGGGACGTGATGGCCGGGCAGGTGGGGATCCTCTAGGGGGGGGTGGGGGGGCGTCTCTTATTTTTTGCATACCTTAGCGGTTAGACCATTGACCGCGCGTCCTCTTGAGGACGGAGCGTTGTTCCCACAGGACCGATCGCCGATGGCCAATCGTTATTGGGGATCCTTGGGGGAGTGTACTCATAGTCGTGCATGCCGTAGTCGTTAGACCATTGACCTCGCATCCCTACAAAGCCGGGACAGAGCACGCCGGGTTCTCACCGGACCAGGCTCTCACATCACCAAGCGCGAAGCGCCGTGAGATATGCGGCGAGTCGCATGAAGGGTGCGCTGCATTTAATGCAGTAGGCTAGTTTTCTTGAGGGGATATGTGTGTCGTCGACGGCAGGCTGCGCGCTACCGGAAAGTAAATCCAGCAGTATTTGGGTCCCCTCTTGCCCCTTACTGGCTTTCTTCCTCTCAACTCCGCCGGGAGGTGTTCTTGGAGACCGGGATACGTACGTGTGCGTATTTTTTGTTCTTGTTTACCTCAGAGCACCACTCTGATTAGTACTGGCTGCATTGAAGTCTGCCCGAACCAACCTCGGGCCCCCCACCACAAGCATATCCGATGTTGTTAGGCTAGTGGGACTGCGGGACGGTTATTTGTAGTCATTTTATGGTTGTTCTTGTTCCGTACCAACGTTCGATAACGCCTCCGTTTTTGTGTGTGTTTGTGTTGCGTGTCCTTGAGCAGGTGGTGGAAGAGCAGAACACAGCGGCGATCAGAGACTTGTGCCGCGCCCTGCAGCAGCACAGACTGCTGGAGAGCCCGCATTTGCACGTGCGCAGCCTTGCCCTCGAGGTGGGGGAGGTCGGAAAGGACAGGCAGCAGCAGTCGGTGTTGCGACTCGCTAGCCACCCTGCACCGTTTCGTCAGCCCCAAGTTTTGTTCAAATCATTTTGTTTCCCGCTTTGTTTGTTGACGGACAGCCTAATTGCATGCTCGCCATCGCTGTTGAGCCTGTTGCAAAGTTGGTGGTGCATTGACCCCCCTAAGCATTCTCCTTAAGCTTACATGGTGCTCCTGCCCCTTCTTGCGAACAATCAATCCGACGGCCAGGCTATGTTTCTGTTGGTGCCAGACCCTTCGCCGCTGGACCCACAGCTCCGAGGCCTGTGGGACTGGCTGCAGCAGAGAGTCGAGCAGTGCCCCTCCACCCTCCCGGACACTGTCCTTAGCGAGCTGGTGGACACCCTGCTCACGCGGGTCCAGTGCAGCGCTACCAGCCGGGAAGAGGTGATCCCGATCGCCCTCGCTCTCACGGAGAGCTTCATGTACCAGGTGAGAAGAGAGACGACGGCGGGGGTGGACCGCGGGCAGTCAAAACGCAGTAGACTTCACAGCGTTTTTCTATATGGTAGACATGTTGGATAGAAGCATGCACTCGGGAAGTTGGGTTAGGGTTGGGGATAGGGTCTGCGTACCCCCTCCCTGTTCTATGTCCTCGTCAACTTCATTTCTCGCGAAGGCGGTCAAAGCGCCTCGCTGGGTGGAGGAGAGAGCTGAGAGGGCTTGAAGTAGATTTCGCCGTTCTGTGCGGTGCTTGTCCTCGCGTGTGTTTCGGGTGAGGCCTATTTTGTGAGGGGCAGGCGAGTGACCCAGACGCCCGGAGAATCGAGAGGGAGACGGATGCTTCTCGGGGTCCAATTCACGGTGTCTCGGCGTTTGTTTTTTTGTTGCGGATCGCGTCGCCGAGAGCGTTGTTTGGTGTCGCTCGCAAGCCGGTTGGACCATGTGGTGTTTTATCCCACTCTGTTGTCGCGCAGGCGATCGACTCGCACGGCTACCTGCTGTGGCGTGGCTGCAGCCCGTTCCATTCGTACGCATTCGAGGCTCTCATCATCAGTGAGTCCTGTCTTGTCTCTTTCCCCTGCCTTGTTGATATGTCGTGTCTGCCTGCAGGTACCGAGCGAGGAAATGGGGCGCTGCGTTTTGAGGGCGTGGTGTCAGTGTGCCGGATATGGGGGGCGGGCGCGCGAGTCGGTGCTTCAGTCGGTGTATCGCATCCTCGATAGGTGAGCCGAAATCGCAGGGTGGGTTCACACCCTCATCTCATGTGTGTACAGCACAGGTCTGCTTCCCCACCTTCCGCGATGGTTGACGCATTTGTGGCTTAGGTGATACAATGCCACGCATGTGCTGCGCGATCCGATGCCTAACAATGTTTAACATCGCAGAGAGGAACGAAACAGCGACGAAGGCACCTGAGGCTAGATGTTGCACGCGGGGCGCGGCGATTGCGTGAGAGCCTAACGGTACCACACGTCGTCGTGTGCGTTTTATCGCTGGTCATTCGTTGTCTTTATCTTGGCAGGAGTATCGCCCTGCCGCCCGACAACCCGCGCGCGGCCTTTGCGTCTGCGGCGAACAATCGCGCCAGCACCGGCAGTGTTGGTGATAGAGGAGGAGCGGCCCGTCACGTGAGGGGGATGGCGAGCGAAGACTGGACCCGGCAGCCGATCTCGACGGGAGGGGCACAGGGTAAGCAAACGAAAGTGGCGGCCTTGCAAGCAACATGGCAAATGGAGCTTCCCGTTGCGCCTGCCCGAGTTACTCAGTCGATCTCAGTAAGGATGGATTGTGTTTGTTGCCTTGGTTGACAGCTCTGTGCGTGTCGATGGCGGTGTGCCGCAGACGATTAAGTTCACCTGTACAACACGTCCGGTGGCGCTTGGTCTCTCGCACGCGCCCCAATGCTTCCTTGCTTGGAAATTATTCAGGGTCTGAAGACGGCAGCCAGCCGGGCAAGATACCGCCGACTATCGTAAGCGGGGGTGGAAGCAGCGGTAGCAGCGGGTTTGCTACTAGCCTGAACGGCGTGTCGATGATACTTGGCGGCGATGAGGCGTCCCGCTGGGGCAACGCCGGGGGGGGGGGG